CGGACGCCTGCCCTTCCCGTCCGTGCGGCCGGGCTCCCGCTCATGGGCGGCGCGGGGCTGTTCGTTCAACTGCGCTGCGCGGGACGGTCCCGGGAGCTGCCGCGGAGCTCCTCCCAGGAAAGATGCTGAGCGCTCTCCTACTATTCGTCCTTTCCTCCTGCTCCTGCTCTCCCTTCTTCCTCTTCCTATTCTTCCTCTTCCTTCTTCCTCTTCCTTCTTCCTCTTCTTCCTTTTCCTTCCTCTTCCTCTTCTTCCCCTTCTTCCTCTTCCTATTCTTCCTCTCCCTCTTCTTCCTCCTCTTTCTTCCTCTTCCTTCCTCTTCCTCTTCCTTCTTCCTCTTCTTCCTTTTCCTTCCTCTTCCTCTTCTTCCCCTTCTTCCTCTTCCTATTCTTCCTCTCCCTCTTCTTCCTCCTCTTTCTTCCTCTTCCTTCCTCTTCCTCTTCTTCCTTCCTCTTCCTTCCTCTTCCTCCTCCTCTTCTTCCTCACAAATGAAAGCCCTGTCATTGTCCTTTGGAGTTCTACGGTATATCCACTTATTTTTAAATGTCAGAGGCCAGAAGAGCAGAGAATGAGAAAGTACCAAGATGTTAGGACCGGAAATACTTTCAGGGAGCCATGTAGTGCAACCCCTTAATTTTATAGGTGAATGGCCTGCCCTCTGGGATGCTTAAGGGACTTGCCCAAAGCATACAGCCACCTCGGGGTAACATTTGGGCCTGAGATGAATTCCCCTGACCCTGTGCCGTGCTCGTCCCCACAAGGTGCCGCAGTGCATATGAGGATATTGTATAGGTTTGTGTAGTTCAGCTGGTAAAGGAGGCATGTAATATTCTCATTGCCTTTTATGGCTTAACAAATAGAAAATTGAGTTTCTAGATTTTCTTCTTTCTCTCTCTCAGTTATTACAAGTTCTCTAATTGGATTAATTCACATCAACTGGAAAATTTCTAGCAACATTAACCTTGGATGGCATAGATTTGTTGCTAACATTTAAGTAGACTTTTTGTTGAAGTATAACATACACACAGAAAAGCCCAAAGGGCATAAGTGTGCAGTTTGAATTTTCACAAAGTGAACACACAATTGTGTAACCAGGACCCAGATCAGGAAACAGAACAGCACCACCATGTTTAGAAACATTTGAAGAAATATACAATTTTCTTTTCTCTCCCCACAGGTATTGTCAGTCTGTGTGCTCACAACAATCCTTGGTTGTATATTTGGTTTGAAGCCAAGCTGCGCCAAAGAAGGTAATTAGTGTGTGTGTATGTGTGTGTGTTGATATTCAGCCTTCTTCAGAATGTGATAAGCGTTATGTTCTAATCCTATGGGTATCCATAGATAGTGCATATTTGATGCTGATTTGAGCCACCTTAAAACTCTTCAAATATAATTTTAGCCATGTAATATTTTATTTACTTGCAAAACTTCATCCAAAACAACAAAGAGGGTCTATGATAGAAAAACCAACCAGACAAACAGAAAACAAATTAAAACAAAGAAACAAGAAGCAGACATGGCCCACAGGTTCTGGCATCGCGCTCCTGCACCGTCTCCCGGCTTTCTCCCCACCCTCCTAAGGGACTCTTTCTCCCCCAGCAGTGGGTTGCTGAGGCAGCTCCAGGGGTTACTAGGTGACCAGTCAGCATCCCTGGCCAACCAGAAATTTATCTTTACCTGCTCTCAAGGCTCTTAAAATGGTGGGCATTGGTGGTTTCACAGCAGTCGTGGTAATTTTAAGGTTCTACATGTGTGTCTGTTTTTTTAATATTGAATGTAGAAATTATCCAGCATGGATAAGATCAGTATAAATAATAAAACAATCACAGTTTATTGTACTGGTCGTTATTTTGCTTCTGAGGTAGGTTTGTTTTCTCCTTCTAAAAATCATTGATGGTCTTCCTACAGAATTCAATTTTGAAAATTCTTTTCCTGCTCAACTATTCTATAATTGTAATACTAGTCATTAAAAAAAATTTAGTGATTGTTAAGCTATCATTTATTGTTGAAGTGATTGAAATGTAGTACTTTGGTGTATTTAGCCACCAGTTTTCAGGTATACCTCAGAAATATTGCAGGTCTGGTTCCAGACCACTGCAATAGAGCAAGTTTATTAATAAAGCAATTTGTGTTCCTTTTGCTGGTTGAGGGTCTTGCTTTTTTCAATTGGTAAAAAAAATGTAGCATCTGTGAAGTGCAATGAAATGAAGCACAGTAAAACGAAGTATTCCTGTATTTAGAGCAAATATTAAGAAGCTGCAGATGTTAGTGTTCACTTGTGTGGTTTATTGGCATGAAGTAATTTACCTTGAGTTCAGTTTGACACGTAAAAATAGCAGTTTTAGTCTAAACCCAACAGAATGTACATAGTATTTTTAAAAATCACTAGGTGCATATTAATGAGCTTAAAATAGTAGCTGTTATTCTAATAGCTTTTCCCCAACCTGGGTCAGGAAAATAAGCACTTCTGACTTTAAAAATTATTGCATTTCATGTCCTTAAAATTGCCTAAAATCCCAGTGTCACGAGAGTTAAATTCTGTGTCAGTGTCTTGTTGGGTCTGGAGACTATTAAAGTCAAGAGCTAGAATTATTCCTTTCTTCTCTTGGACTTCCATAATTTTACATCTGTTTTTCCCTCTCTCATCATCCTGATTTTTTTTAGAAATCGAATAAAATCCCAGGTTATTCTAGGTATCTACTAAAGAGTTACAATGTAAAATTGTTTTTAATGAAAAGCATTTTCTTCCATATCCACCATTTATCCATTTAACAAAAACTTACTAGTCCCAGTTATAGTCAGGTGTCTTGTGGGTACACAAGATACATTGTGCTGGGCAAAATTTAGGTGTGATCTTTCTTAAGAAGTTTGTAGCCAAGGGTGAGACTGTGATACTAATCAAATAATCTAGTTACAAATGGAGTTAAGTGACTGAGAGGAAGGATAGGATTTTATAAAAGCTTAAGAAAAAAAGTGGGCTTGGGGTTTGGGAAAGTATCTCAGAGGGAGCTAGGCTGGATCTGAAGGTGAAACGGGTGTTGAAGGTGATGGCAGGGAGGGGGGTGCAGGTAGCCCTGCAGAATGTGTTCTTTCTTTCTCTGAAAGATTCATAGACAATCACTTTAAAAATCTTTTCTCACATTTTGAAATTTTAGAGAACTCCATGGTTGTTTAAGCCAGCCTTCAGAACAGCCTCTATTCTGACTTTTCTCTACCAAATCATAAAGTGTTTAAGTCTTATCAGACCTAGTAGTGTTTGTAATAAGTGAGAGGAAAAAGTTCTCTTTTTTCTATGGCAAGAGAGAAAATCATAAACTCTGTATATAGGTTACCTTCTATTTGTATCAGTTTCTGTATGTATTTGTGAAAAATTCTTAGGTACCTGTATTATCCCTTCTGTGCTGTCTAAAGTGGTATTGGAATCTACTCTGGACCCAACTTAGATGTATTAGTTGATATTTGCTTTGTAATTTAGTAATGGTTAGAAATATCTGACTCTTTCACTATTTTCAGTTAAAAGTTGCAAAGGTCGCTGCTTCGAAAGAACTTTTGGGAACTGTCGCTGTGATGTTGCTTGCGTTGAACTTGGAAACTGCTGCCTGGATTACCAGGAGACATGTATAGAACCAGGTAAAAAAGTGCAGGAAAAAATGCAGACATGTGCATTAATGAAAGATCACAGGATGGTTCTGCATCTTTTAGGTATGCGATTTACCTAGCTCTTGAGATTTTAAAAAATGTGACTTTTATATTTCCTTAAAGAAAAAGTTCCACATATTTTGCCATTAAACTTTGGGCAGCAAAACCATGCCTATTTTTAATGTATGCTGAAAGCCTATACAATCTAATTTGCATTTAAACTAAGTTCAAATGAAAATATATTAATATTTTCATTAGGGGCTTATTAAAGCAAGGGTTCTTAGATGTCTACTTAAACTTTAAAATAAAACCTTCAGAACATGGAAGTTTTTCTGTTTGATGTCAACTTCTCTACCTATGACTTGGAATAATATGTAAGTGGGAGTGAGCCAGATTTAGATTAAAGTTTGAGAGCCCCAAAAATGGCTGGTGGAAAAAGCCAAGATCTGAATATGAATTGCATCATAAGAATTGTCCGTATTTTTAAATGATGAGATTCTGGGGTTTTGGTGAAATAATAACAATTGCTACCTGCATGTTCTCTGTTAGTTCTGACTGACACTGTGATGGCAGATTCTGTGAGTAGTTTGTGTTCTTTTACGGGTCTTGCTGCAGAAGACAACAATTCTGTGTTTACTTTGGATGTGTTAAATTTGGACCATAAAATTGTTATTGGTATTTATTTCTAGAGCACATATGGACTTGCAGCAAGTTCAGGTGTGGTGAGAAAAGGTTGTCCAGAAGCCTCTGCTCCTGCTCAGATGACTGCAGGGACCACGGTGACTGCTGCGTCAACTATAGCCCTGTTTGTCGAGGTCAGGTTTCCAAGTGCTCAACAGGCTCTACAGCACCCTGGCATCTTCCTAGGTCTTAGTTAGGTTTTGCATATTATTTTTTTACATTAGGAATCATATTTATTGGTCAACTATATCAGCTGAAAAAATATTTTAAACATTTTATTAAAGAAAATTTCAAGCATGTACATGAGTAAAGAGAGAGTGTGCAATGAACATTGTACCCACACCCAGCTTAGTAATTATCTGCATGTGGCCAATCTTGTTTTATCTATTGCCGCTCATTCACTTGCTACCACCCCCTCATGTTATTTTGACATTAGCTTTATATTGAATGCTCTATTGTGGAAAGATCATCCTGGCTGACTACTATGTCCCAGGGTGTAAAAATGAAGATAAAGTCTGCCATACCACCCCAATAAATTCAACTAAAAAAATAGCAACAGCTTAGATGCTGAATTTGTGACATGAGTAATAGGAGGAGCTTAAATTATAGGTTTACTGTTGGGCACACTATAGCTTGACATAGTTCTGTAAATATGAGCATGGTCACAGGATTCTGAGATGTAGGTGAGAGAGCTGGCTCATGAATTTCAGGGACTGTGCTCGAAGAGTGAACAATATCTTTCAACTCCTTACTGCATACAAGTAAACTTGTCCTTTGTGATGGCCTCTAACTCTCTTAGGAATCATGAGGCTCCTTTCAAAGGAACATGGGACTTGAACTTTTCCGCAGAGCTCTGTGTCCTAAGTCCTTAAAAGTGTAGTAAGTAGTTGCTGCAGAGTGTCTGGGAATACACAGCACAGAGCCAGGTCAGGGGGTCTCAGGAAAGGAAGTGACTGCTTCCTCAAGTTAAAAAAGAAAGAGCGCAGCAAGAATATAGCATTGCATCAAACGTGACTTTGTGCCTGGGGACAAATGACTACACATCACCTAAATTCTTACCAGAAATGACTTAGGCATTTAGGATAATCTGTTAATTTTGTGAAATGTACAGTGGGAAAATACTAAAAACTCAACTTCTGAAGGCATATTATTAAGATCACATTTTTTCTTTTTAAAAAAATTAGGTTCTTCAATTTTAGCAGGTTATAGTTTAGATCATTAGAATGGTGCTTATGTTAAAACATAGGGAGAGGAGTAGCCATCCTGTCTACTTCATTTCTGACCTACTCTCTCACTTATTGCTTGTGTCACTCATTTCAAACTTAATTGCATATTCTCTCATGTCAGTTATTATTATCCCATGTGTTTACTTTCTCTCCATAGTTAGATTATGAGTTCTTAGCAAATAGACACCATCTGGAACTTTTATAATAAGAAAAAAAAGTCTGCCATGCATTGAGAAAGTGCATGTGAAATTACTGCAAACAATTATAGGGTAGTATGTAACCTGATGTTATTAGGATGTCTTATTTAGATGTTACAGGATTCCGTGAAATTTCTTGGCACTATCTGTCTCTATTTGAGAGAAACTGACGTCATGGATTTAATACCAGAAGATTTTGTTGGGTGGGATAGAAGGAGGGCTGTAAATTTTGGCTGAAAATATGAACAATTTAAACATGGAAAAGATGCCTTCAGGATCTCATAAATATAATATTATATTCTAGCCCTACAATTACACATTTATATTTTCTTCCTGATATCAACTACCTTTTTGGTAGTTGATAACAGATTTTTTTTTTTGAGACAGATTACCTCCCTCTTTTCATTATATTTCCCTACAATCATGCCCTTGTTATCTATGTAAATGTTAATATTTTGTTTTTGGAATCTGTCCTATTGTGTCTCACAAGAATCACAATTGTTACTATTAAGCACGTTCATCTCGTTTTATTTCTTTAAAATGTTTTAGGTGAGAAAAGTTGGGTGGAAGAAACGTGTGAGAGCATTAATGAGCCACAGTGTCNGTATAGAAACCCTGCTTCATCAGTCAGTTAGCTCACTCCCCCAACCTAAAGGTAATGGCAGCATTTTGTTATCAGTAGGCCCACTGAGACCACATGGAAACAGGGAAATTTTATTCAATTTTTTTTTTTTTTTTTTTAGAAATACCATATTTTTCTTTCCAAATTAAAAAGATAAAAAATTATTTATTGGTTCATTAAATGTGATTTTTAGTCAGGCCTCCTATTTGGCACTGGGATGTAGAGATGGTACAGAGCGGTGTGACCTCCACTCTGGAAGGCAGTGGGAAAGTGAGCGTGTAGTCTTTAGCATTCACGAGAGTTGGGTGGAAATGTTTGTACCCTTCTTAGGAAGGAAGGCCCTTTACTTTCATTTGGAGCTTTGAAAGTTGAACTTGTAGCAAATTACTTTATAGCTTCTTTTTATTTTTTGCATTTTGGTTAATTTATAAATTTGGGGCATAAGCAACGTGTCTGTGAAAGGATGTTACATAGTTTTTATAATTCATATTTGTTCTTTTTGTCCTGAGGGTATTTTGCACTTAGAGTGCTTTATATATGCTGGCCATCAAGGGGTGGACATTTTATAAAAGATGATAGATGCATTTAGCTTCACTCCACTTGAGATCTACCTCATACAATCTGAGTTATTCATCTTAAGAAATATATTTTTACCTCTTTAAAAATTATGATTTTTTCAAACTATTAAAATTTTTGTAGTTTATTTTGTTTATGTACATAATTTATTTTTGCTTAATAAAATGTGTATTTTTTTCTTTTGGATGGGAGAATATATTTTTGTTGTTTAAAACAATAGTAACAGCAATAGAAAAAACTAAACTCAAACCAAAAAGTTCCAAAAGAAGAGACTTTTTTAAAGGATACTTGGCGCATACCCTAAGCTGCCTGTTAAGTCCAAGGCATATTGGAAATTTTAGACTTAGTGAGTTTTGAATTTTTCTTTCCCTCCTGAATGCTGATCATTATTTTTCAATTGTAGTGTTGACTCTTTTAGTGGAAAAATGAGCCTCCATTCTTTATAAGAAGATTATAATTTAAAACACATTTTATTATACTGGAAATGAGTTTGCCAGTATACTTATCTGGTGGTCCAGTAAACTTTTCATGTTTTCTGTTGCTTGAGTATAAATAACTTTATACAGACATGGATTATTGAGACTGTATGCAGCTGATTCTGCAGAGTCACTCAACAGAGGTCACTACATAGTGTAACTTACATAAGTTATATGCACATCTTCTCCTTTTTTCTATTTGTGTTTGTGTATGAGAGTAAGCTGGGGAGGAGAGAGAGAGTTGAAAAATGCAGGATGAGGTAAGCATTGGCTCTCAAATTTTGAATTACTGAGTAAATTTTCAGTGGAAAGTTTTTTTCATGATTATCCGATGATATATAACTCTGGCCATCTACCAGATGTCATTAGAAGCTGCAGAATTTCTGCATGATGCCTGTTTTGGTGCAGCCATGTAACAGCTGTCCATAGTTATTCTCTTTTGCTGAATATATCATTGTATGTGGGGTTTTTTTTCTTTTTTTTTTTGCCTCCCTGTTTAAATTTCCACACCACACTCTTGTGTGTGTGTGTGCTATTATTTTGTGTTCATTCCTAGCTTTGGATCATTTCTTTGTTGTTTATATATTTAAATGCAGTAAGTACCTCTTAAACTTCTCTGTTATATATCAATATCTTTTAAATAAACTTACAAACTAACTATTGTATATAATTTATATTATATTAGGTACCATTTATTAGGCTCAAGTAGAGACAGTATCAGAACGTGGTTGTTCAGGAAAAAAAGTACTGGAAACTAAAACATAATTGAGAAAATACTGTGTGTTAATATTTACTCTCCTGCGTCACATTTTAGTAGCACTTGTTTAGCTCATGGAATAGAAGAAACCATGAAAGTTATTCTCTGTATGGTGGCTCATGATATGAGTGCTTAATAAATACTGTTTGATGATAGATATATAATAGAATGTAAAGGTATATATGAATATGAATGCTTGTAAAATACCCTTCATGAGGGTGCTCACTGACCTTGTTAGTTTACTCCGTGGAAAGTCTTCGCTGGATCTGTGTCTTCTTTCTTTAAATGTTATTTTTTTCCTTGTTGCCCAGGTTTGAAATGCCTCCTACCCTCCTATTTTCTTTGGATGGCTTCAGGGCAGAATATTTACACACCTGGGGTGGACTTCTTCCTGTTATTAGCAGACTAAGTGAGTAACTTCAAAGTTTACTGTTGGAGTATCACGATGTCCATGAGATAGATGAGGGACGCAGTCCTTTTTTGGAAAAGTACTGGCTGAACTTTACTGTTTTACTAAACTTCTCTGATACAGAGTGGCTGAACCTGATGATAAGGCACTAGTCTTTAATATAATTACTCTAAAACTGCCTTTTAAATACTTTTATCCCTTGGCTGATACTTGTATATGTATATTTACATATATAATTTTCTCTCTCAGAATTTTGCATTTTTTTATGGGAAAATCATTAATTTATTTAATAAGTATAACATCTTAAAATGGAATTTTAAAAACAGAAGGTATTTCTGATATGATACTATTGTCATAGACATAGAATATTTGCCTGCTAATTATCTTATAATACTTCGTAGCATCCTTCCAATTTCTTTGTCTCAATCAAAGCCTTAATTGAATGATTATGCTTTAAGTTACTGATACACTAGAACAGTCTTTTCTCAGTATTAGTGCCAACATTTTAAATCATATTACCCACCAGTGACATGGGTGTCACTTGTGAATCATTGTTACTGAAAAAGCAACAAAAATTGGATATGGAGATAAAAACGGTAGAACTTTGCTCATTATTAGTGATCAGTATTTAAGTAGCTACAGTATATAATACTGGACTGAACTAGAAGTAAGTAAATACAACCATTTTAGTATCCTGGAATTCTAAAATATTAATTACCAGACTTAGGTATCTGAAATTGGTTGAAATGTTAAAATCACTCTCATATAATTACATATGTACATTTATTGTACTTCTCTTGTGACAAGCCAAAATAATCTTGGAAAACTTCTGACAATTTGAGTTTTTAATTTCTAACTGGAAGAAAATAATATTTATAAATATCATTTAGCATAAAAATTCCTTAGTCAAGAGCTTGCAGAGGCAAGGAAGGCTCTGTTCTAATCAGCCAGGCTCATGGGCTTTGAAGCTTGAATCTGGCCCTTTGTTACCATTGGGAGGAAGGTTTGTCTCCATGGCACCAAGCATGGCATCCTTCCTTAGTTCAGACTTAAGTAGCAATAGGTACTGATATGTGAAGTTTAAAAGAAATCAATACACACTTAGCCTGAATCTAGCTTTGGATAATTGGGGAATGAGGTCTGTAATTATGAACTGTTTGGAAGGCAGTGGGATAGACACATGCCAATCTAAGGAACACTTTCAGGCAATGAGGTATTAAAATCCTATAGTCATTTGTTATGTGTTCCTTCCTCAATAACTGATGCAGAAGAGGAGCGTGACACCAGGGCTAAATCAGGAACAGTCTGACTTTTGTGCTTTCTCAGACTTGAAGCCAGAATATGCCTTTTTCCTTTCAGCAGAGTTGAGTTTGTCCAAAGTGTGCTAGTTCTGAATCTATGGGTTGGGACACTTGTCACCCCAGCTTCTGCTTCAGCCTAGTTTTAATTTTACAGATTTAGCAACTAGTTCAGTTTCTTATTGTTGTTGTTTCTGTTGGTTTTTTTGGTGTTTTTTTTGTTTTTTTGTACTACCTCTTGCAGTTTAGGTATGTGACCACTAAATAATAACAAAGATCTAGCAAGCATCATTATTACAAATGGTCCATCCGAAACTTAACGTTATTGATTAGTATGGGATAATTATTTCATTGGCTTAATTATTTTGTTTAATGCTTTTTGACTAAGAGAAAAATTAACTCTAATCTTAACATTGAATTTGAGTTCACAGTTTTGCTTTATAATTCACCCTGAGTTTGTATATGATTATAAACTCTTCCTGGGTTAATTTTTTAATGTAATATATAGACTGCTGCAGTATCAAACCTAAATGAGATAAACAGATTGTCAGTTGTATTTAATAACAATCTTTAATTTTTTTCCTTTGTAGAAACCTGTGGAACATATGCTAAAAACATGAGACCAGTTTATCCAACAAAAACTTTCCCCAATCACTACAGCATTGTCACAGTAAGTTCCGCATTTCAACTTTTATATGTTCATAGAAGTGAGACATAAATGTAGCATTTTTTGAGAGATTAATTAGATATCAGATCAGAAAAAAACAACAACACTTATTTTCCGATGTAGTTAAACCAAGACACCTAGATTCTGGTCTTTGCTTCCTAGCTGTGGCCTTGGGAAGGTCACTTTACCTTCTGAGTCTACATTTTCTCATCTGAAAAGAGGTGACCAAAGACCTCAATAAATAATTTCTAGCTTTCCTTTTGGTTTTTAGATTTCTGATTCTTATATCCTGTTTTTTCTTACTAGTTTTGTGGCTTACTTTATTTGAATAAATAAAACTACCTCATACTCACATGCTCTCAACTTGTCTTTCCAATGATCTTTTTTTTTAAATAGTTGACAGTATTACAGATGCCCCCATCCCCCCACGCACACTTTGCCCACCTCCACCCGGCCCCAGCCCCCGCCACCCCTCCCCTGGCCTTCACCACTCTGTTGTCTGTGTCCATGGCCAATCAATCATCTTGATCTATGAGTTTGAGCAATCAGTCCGCCTCACTCTGGGTAGGATTACAACCCTGTTTTTGTTTCAGTCAGTTTCCAGATTTAATTTGAATCCAGAAAAAAAAAAAGTAGAATTCATTTGGCCTTGAAGCCAGAAAATTAATACTTTTAGCTTGTATGGATTGATAAAAGCCATTCTTGGACCCAACCAAAGAAAAGTTTTGTTTAGCAGAAATGCCTTACTCAGCAATGCAAAAAAGACAACAGAGTATTTTTTTCAAAATTTGGGAGGCTGCCTATTTATATAGAACTTGATCCATTGCATTTCTAACTTATCTCCTATTACATAATGTAAAACACAAATACTACATAAAATTCTGAGTGGTTGGTTATGTTTTGACAATACCCACTGTTTTGTTTTTCCTTTCTTAAACTGCGTTAAATTTCTTGTAGCTTCAGTAAACCTGTTTCTCTTTGATGAAATTGTTCTATGACTTTAACATTAATTAAAACATTCATAACTGCATACAACCTGTATTTTATATTTTTTAGGGTCTTTATCCAGAATCCCATGGCATAATTGACAATAAAATGTATGATCCAAAAATGAATGCTTCCTTTGCCCTTAAAAGTAAAGAGAAATTTAATCCTGAGTGGTACAAAGGAGAACCAGTAAGTTGTTTGTTTTGCTACTAAAACAATCTCTTTTATTATTATTATCATCTATGAAAATCAGAGTAAAATACCAGATTCTCTGGCACTCTGAATAACGTATTTTATTTATTGTGTCTATGGCCACCCTTTTGTAAGCGAAGATGAATGCTGATAATCCTAAATGCAGTTTATGTCAGTGTATAATGAGAATAGTAATTTATTTCAGAACCCAGCCTATTTTCTTTCTGCTTGATTCTACCTTTTTGTATTAATAGCATATGGCAGTAGGTGAATGGGAGGTAATATTTTTATCCACACAAAGCTAATTGTTTCTCAAGGAGGTAAACTTTGACTCCTTTGAATATGCTAATTTAGAAGATTCCCTCTGGCTGTGATTTCGATGAATCCTTTCTATTTTTTTAAATTGTTACAATAATTCTATTGGTTCTCTTTGGATAGTCTTAATAATCCTCTCAGAAGGAAAAAGAGCATGATGTTTAATTTGCAGGTTATAACATTCAAATTTTAGCTCTGATATTAAAGCTCTGTGACTTTGGACAAATTATTTTTTCTATGCCTTAGTTTTTTCATGTCTATACTATGGATAATACTGTTAACTACCTCATAGGGTTGAGGACTATCTAAATTAATAATCTAGGATACTAATAGAACTACTGTTTAGAACTGCAATTGGCAATAATAAATGTTTAATAAATGTTAGTTAATAAGTTAAAATGTCAATAAATTGGATATGCATGTTTGTGAATTTTTCTTTTTTCAAGGGGAACCTGTTAAGTAGGGTATGGCTCTAAAAGCTGCAGTAGTTGCCAACTGACTTATGTCTATATTTTTCAGGTTAATTTAATCCCTAATTATTTAATTTCTTTTTGCTGCTGTAGAGAGTCATATTACCTGGTTATTTTTAAATCTAATCCCTAGGTCTTATTAACCTTAAAAACATCCTAGCACTTGAGAAGAATGCATTGGTGTTGCATGAACACAGGTTTTCCTTAGAGATTAATATTTACATAGTTTCCTAACTTTCCTTTGTTATCTTTTCCAGATTTGGCTCACAGCCAAATATCAAGGCCTGAAGACTGCCACATATTTTTGGCCAGGCTCAGATGTGGAAATTAATGGAATTCTCCCAGACATCTATAAAATATATAACGGGTACGTGTAGGACCTATAACATAGGACAGCTTATTTTTAACTCAGCATCTCCTCTTTATCAAGTCCTAAGCTCTAGCTTTTGAGTATATGTTGGTTGAAAAGTGAGAACTGTCAGAATAAGGGCTCTGTCTCAAAGAGTCTTAGGTCGATGGTGATAGTAAAGCAAGTTGTTTTCTAGAGGTTTTCCAGAAAGCATTGGTATCATGTTGGGGTTTGCACTCAGATCTTTGGGCGGGAATGAAAAATGAAGTCATGGTGAATGTAGAGGTCTCAGAGAGGAGGCACAGCCCATTTTAACTCGGGGGGAAAAAGAGCTGAAGAGGGAAATGAAAGCACTAAAGAGGACACAGGTAGGAATGACTCTGGTGTCTGGAAATATTATTCATGAGAAGATATCTATGGCATCTCTGGATTTGTATTTCTAAATTACTTCAATAAATATGCCATCTAATGTGAGAAAACAATTAGAATAATCTCCCAGTGATATTCAAAATCCATGATGTATTGAGATCAAAAGAACAAACTTTTTTTTTTGAAAACTCCCTTTGGGTAATTTTAGTGAGACTACCAAAATAATTTTATTTGTTTTACACTTAGAAAGTTTCTGTCGCACAGTCAGTATAGCAGTATATCTGGGATATGAGCAGAGGAGGTTATAAGTTCTGGATGAGAAATGCATAATGATTTTCTTTGGTGATCTTATGTTATTGTTAATTCTTTTTTGTTTGTTTGTTCTTGTTAATCCTCCCCAGAGGATAGTTTTTACATTGCTTTTCAGAGAGAGTAGAAGGGAGGGAGGGAGGTGGAGAGAGGGAAAAGCTTCGATGTGTGAGAGAGACACGTGAATTGGTTGCCTCCCGAATGCGCCCCAGTCGGCATGGGCATCGAACCCTCTCCTGAGGTACATGCGCTTGACCGGGAATCAAACCCGTGACCCTTCGGTGCTCAGGCCGATGCTCTAATCACTGAGCCACACCGGCCAGGACACTGTTGTTAATTCTTTATGGTTCACTCGAACACAGTGCAGCGCCTCTTCCCACCTTGTCATTTGTCATTATTTTCATTCCATGGGTGGAAATTGAAGTTTCATTGCCATGTACTGTACTAGGCACGGGGGATTCGAAGACTAGCGATATATGTTCTCTGCCTTCTCAAGTCTAATAGAGGATACAACTAACTGTACTCGGGGTTGGGCAAGCAGGCCCCGGTGGCGTTTTGTAAACAAAAGCCTGTGCCTGTAGGAAGGCTGGTCAGTTCTGCTGGGGAAATGTTGCCCGGGACGCGTCTGCTCACCGGGCACCCACTTCCCTCTTTACTGAGTCATCAGTGACAAGGGTTTTTCACGTGGTAGCAACTGCTATTCTCAGGTGTAGGAAAAATATCCTCAAGTAGAGCATAGGGAGCAAATTTTTAAGCCCAGTGCCTTTCATATGTGTAAAACTTAGCTTTTGTTTCTTTGTTGGGAAAACAAATTTAAGTTTCCGCGTAAAACTCTTACATGGCTTCAAACACGATTGATGCATTAGTTTATTTTAGTCATTCTCCATGCAGTTTTGTTAAGAAAACATTTATATTTTAAACCTAAACAGTTGTCTCAGATTTGTTTCATTTTGCTTATTATTAATTTTAGTTCAGTACCATTTGAAGAGAGAATTTTAGCTGTTCTTAAATGGCTACAGCTTCCTAAAGATGAAAGGTATGTATTGTAAATGCTCCTTTGTTTTATAGAAGTTACACGATATTTTAAAATAGACTACAAGAAAACTTTGATGTTGGCTGTGAGGTTTTATATCGCAATGAACTCTTTAGTGAGCTATTACGGTCACATTTTGAAGAATTCGAAGCCTGTAAATGATTTCTCAGCACGTTTAGAAACGTTACCTCACTGTTGTATAATTTTTGTTCACTGTCGATTGTTGAATTACTCTTTTCATTCTGTTTTACAATGTGTTCATAAAATATTACGTTTTGATACTGTTTGATTTAGACCACACTTTTACACTCTGTATTTAGAAGAACCAGATTCTTCAGGTCATGCCTATGGACCAGTCAGCAGTGAAGTAAGTACCTTTTATCAGCGATTACTTCATTAAACCTGGTAACAGCTAACTGAACCTTGATTTGAAGTAGGTTTCTAGACTCTTCTGTAAGGTTCCATGATTTCTGGAAAGAGCGAGTATTCAGCGCAGTTTTACTAAACCAAAGAATGCACTTTAATCAAAGTAAGAGTTGGGAGAATTGTTTTGTTTATATTTTCACAGTGCTAAACTGAGCTGGTGATGAATTAAATTCAATATTTTCAATTCCAAAGCATTTATCCACTCCATATCCCCTTACATTGGCCTTAAAAATGTTGGAAATGGGTAAGACTCCACTTTCCTAGGAAAATGTAGGACGCTATGTCAAATAGCAGAAGAAGCCTCCTATGAACTCTTCACCTTATGAAATGTATCTCTGGCCATCTGACACCAGTGCTTACAACAGAGCTCGGGCATCAAAGCAATTGGCAGTTTTATCAGAAGTGCAGAGAACTTCAAATAATCATTGACTTATTGAGTGGTTACTAGGGAGTGAGCTCATGGACTAAGGCTCTCAATGTAGCATCTTATTTGACCTGACACCTTTTAGGAACTCAGCCCATTCCTGGCTATGTTTGTAATTGGTGTAGTGCTTTAAACCTCAAATACTGCTTTCAGTTTGTGTGTGGCCATATCATTGTATTCCATGGAGCATAGGAAACATATAAACAGAAAATGATACGAACTTCTTTCCTTGTACCTCTAGGCTGACTTTGCTTATGACTTATATTTTATCTATGACCTATGATATGAAAAGAAACAATAAATAAGGATCTCTAAATATTGTTGGTCATGTTGAAAGAGAGATGTATTGCCAGAATCCCTAAATTCAGAATTCTTGTCTAATTATCTTTCCACCCCATATGATTCCAAGAGATAGAAGACCAAGAAAACACACTGTTTCTTAATAATGAGAGCTTCACTCCCAAATTCTCACCAGTTCCCCCACCCAGGTAGCCCAGGCTGGAGAGTTTATATGTTTGAAGGATTCATTAGCATAGGGTTCATAAAGCTGGGCCTGTCAGGTCTATTGTGGGCCCTGCATTTGAGGGTGTGACATGCTCTAAATGCTTAGCTCAGCAGCAGTGGAAGGAAGAGAGAAAAAGCATGCTCACTTTTCTCACTTGAATGTAAAATAGCTGCCTAAACCATCTTCCCCTGGCTTTCTTTCCCTAGGACTACCCCAGATTCACCCCTCTTAGAGAGTGGGTTCTTCTTGAGTGCCATCTCATCAGGTGAAAAAGAGCAAAGAGAGGAAAGTTGGCCCTCACCTAGGTCTGGATTCACCCTTTGTATTTATTCCAGCAAAATGCATCTCCAGCAGCCCCAATGTGCTTAGTAACCCCATGTGCCTTTGCTTTGACTCTCTTCTTTAAGCAGAAATGCGCCTTCATAGACGTGTGGGCGAAAATGTGGGCACACCGTGACTGATCAAAGGAAAGAGTGTCCTGTAACTCTGATCTTGGTTTGAACAGTTGGCCAGATGCTAGTATTATTTTCACTCTTTCCCTAGTCACCGACACCTAAGACCCAAGTCTAGGTCAGTTTGGCTATAAAAGTAAGTCTAAGGATTATTTTGTAACCGCTTGATTATCAGACCATGTAAGTGTTAACATCAGTGCTGCCCTTTCTAATTCCCTAAAGATTTTGCCGATTACCTGCTTTTCTGATCCATCTTTATTCAAGGTTGAGCCCATTGCTTTTGACTCATTTTCAGCAACTTGCAGACTTTCTTTAACTACTGCGACTGACACAGCAAAACACATTTTGTCTTAATACTTGAAAATGCCAACTCATGTTGCTTAGATATTTTTGAGTGAACGGAAGACTGTATTGAAAGAGCTTGTTTCATATAACAGTAAAATACACTGACTATAAGTAAGGATTAGACTGATTTGATATATTATAGAAAATACACAGAAAACTGTGTAAGAGTTTTCCTCAGGTGGCTTTGTAAGGAGAGAGGAAAAGAGAAATGCTCAAAGCAATTTGCCAAAATCATTTGCCTTTCTGTGTTCTTGTGATGCTCATGTGCAAAATACATTTGATTTATAAGGAAATAATGGGTTGTATTCCTAGAAGTTCTTATCTTAAAAATTAAGTACATAGAAGCATTTAATGAATAATTTTAACGTTTTTGAAAATGAGGAAATATTGCATTTATGCAGTAAACATTTAATCAGAAAGAAGAAGGGGAAACTGATTATAGAAAATGAAGTGATGCCTGGCCGGGTGTGGCTCAGCGGTTGAGCGTCTACCTGGGATCCAGGCGATTGGGGTTCGATTCCTGGTCAGGGCACATGCCCGGGTTGCGGGCTCGATCAGTGACTCTCTCATCATTGATGTTTCTATCTCTCTCTCCCTCTCCTTTCCTCTCTCTGAAATCAATAAAGATATATTTTTTAAAAAGAAAAAAAAAAAAAGAAAGAAAATGAAGTGATAATTAAAGTACATTTGTTTCTGGCCAAAAAGTATGAATTTGGGTTAGTACTACTTTGTCCTAAATTGGCCCTGGTCTAAGGAGTAGCATTCTGAACTCAGAGAGGGAGAGAGAATCAGTTTAGCTAATGCCTTTTCCAAGGTTTATGATTAAGCACATGTGGAATTTTAGCCATTTCACCATTAATGGTCAGTAGTTCTTTCATTCCCAGCCTGTGTTACCTGACTTGTCTTAGGCTCATGTGAATCAATTCATCACAGTGTTTTCATCCACTGAACTAACGGACTAACTTTCTCCCTCCCTTCCTCCCTCCATCTGTCTTTCTCTCTCTCCCCCTTCCTTCCTCCCTCCCTCCCTCCCTCCTTCTTTCTTTTCTCTCTCTCTCTCTCTCCCCCCTTCCTTCCTTCCTTCCTTCCT